ACTACTTAGCGAGCATCCTTACTGTTTGGTGATATGATATGTACATCACCACTTCAAGAATACACGACATAAGAACAAATCGACGAAAGATTTCCAGTAAGCTATATTTGGCTCTATATATTGCATATTCCTAGATCAATTATTATTAAATATAGCTCAACTATTACATTTTTTTGGTGATATATTAAAAACGCAGATTGTCCGATATTAAAAAGTAGTGTTTTTTTTATTAGTTAAACCAATAAAACAGATAACAGGAATGACAGTTTTTTTTTTGACAGTACATAGAATGACATGACATAAGGCCAGAGTTGCCAGTTCCAATTAATATAAAAAGTACTTTACACAACAAAACAACTAGTAATTTAGTAATTTCCATTTAGTGGGTGGTAGACTGCTATGATAGCTAGTCAAATTAACCAACTCAATTAAACACTTCAATCTATTGTGATACCACTACTTCATATACGATGTTAGTGTTTGCTAATTATGAACTATTAATATGATCTCATAAAATTCTGATAGAGTTCTTATTATTAGATGTCTCAATCTTAATAAATCAATAAGTTTTGGATTCGAAACAGCAAATACACCGATAGCACTTCTGCTATCAAAAGTAGTTTTTATTTTATGTTGTTCTTTTGGGATATGCTTACAAAAGAAAAGCCTTATTGTTGATTTATCGTTTTTATACTTCAAGCGTCCAGATTTGAACCCTGTCAAATTGTAATCCTAGACTCACTGGTTTATATACGAAACTAACCAGTACTTAATTAAAATTATTTAGTTGCTGACAACATATACACTTGCTGTATTACAATTAGAACAAACACTCACCACAACTATAACTAAATCTGATTCATCAGTTTTTCTTATTATAATTTTTTGTTTCATTATCAAAATGGACTTTAGTAGTGCTAATTAGTAGATGAGTAATATTACTTGTACATATATGCAAAAAATGAAACAAATTTTCGAGACTATAACTTTAATCTGAATATGACAACAACACTATGAAGTAAATAACAACAAATAAAAAAACAATAATTATGAATTTTCCAGAAACATTTAAACATGCATTTATTTTTAGTGGTTTAACAGCTGTTTTTATTTTTATTAATGCACTAAATACGATATATACATACACCATATATATATAGTATGGTTAAGTATGTGCTTTTAAAACATCTGAACTGTATTAGTTTGGCACTAAAAAAATTACAAAAGCTGTACTTTAGGTCTTGTGCTTCCTCCGGGAGTATCCATTCACAATACCGTCCCTGAAGACTTCATCCAAACCCTGCGCTACAATCAACCCCCTCCCCGCCATAATACTTGCCACACATCACCACACCATTCCCCTTTATAACTAGGCTTTCGAGCGCCAAGTCATAAAGTTTATCGCTAGTCTCAACCACGCGTATGAGCTTTGACCCTACCCCCGTCACCATCACTCTATCTCCCTAATTCACGCTCCTGCTTTCTGGTTTAGATGAACCTAGCCCGCTAGGTTATATTATGTTGATCCTTTTTTCGAGTCAGCGCAACTGGGTACTTTTACTCTTTGATAGCTGGGGGTACTACAGGATCCCACCCATCTCATTGACTAATATATGTATTGCCTATAAGCTTCATGAATATTCGGTGATTGATCTAAGATCTGCGTACCTCCCTATGCGGAGAGTGATTACTCTAAGATTAGATAGTGGTAAGTAGGATACCGTGTCAATTTTCGCATATAACTTCATATATATTTCATATATATTTCTTAGCATGTCGTTTGTGCGGATGTACCAAGGCACTTAGAAGAGCCTTCGGAGAGCCTGAGCCCGCTAGATATTAAGCCTATCTGTTCACATTTCTCTCCCCTGATTCCTGGTATGAAAATTCCTCAATGCTGTGGGAATCTTCTCCACTCATTCCTAAGAGGTGGTTTTATTGGGTTCAAGTCTCACACTGTGGCTTTCGATGCTTTTCACATACTTCAAAAAAAAAAAAAACTGGTGCTTAGAATTAACCAATAAACCATTTTTTCTATTTTCTATTTACTATCCATCTCAAGTGACTTGTGTGTAAATACTAAATATATTTTTAATATGTCCAAAGCCATACATAAACCATTTTTTTCTTTTTTTCAGTTTTAGCCATAATAAAAGCAAAATTAAAGCAATTTCTTTTTTTTTCTTTACATATGTTTTTTGTTGTTGATTTTATTTATTACGGCGTAGTTGCACAAAATTACATTGAAGATGATTTTATAATGTTGCCTCTCATGAGTGAGCGGCAATAATAAAAAATGAATTACGAATAAACAACAACAAACACAACAGATACAACAATAACCACAGTAACAGCAAGTTACATGAATAAAATAAAAATACGGCGAAAATATATGCACACACATACATACATAGAAAACATTTTAAGAAGAATAAAAAGAAAAGCCTTAATGTAAAATAGTGAAATTATAGCGCTTTTAAGCTTTTGACAATGTTGGTATAGTTTGTAGAAAAAACTATTTTTATTTGGTTTGGTTCTTTTCCTTTTCTGCTAATGAACTGAATGTACCTGCAACATTGCAATGCCACCATCGACCAACTACTCGTATGACGGGGTGCAACGTCATCGACTACGGCAGAGGTATCAGTAATAAGCATTTTTTTTCAAGATGCTGCGCAATTAAAATTTTTTTTACGTTTTCATTTGGAAATTTTTATTAATTTATGACTACCAAAAAAATTTTTATTGCTCTAGATGAGACCATAAGCTGAAGAAAGAAAACATTAAAAAATATAATTTTGCCTATTAAAATTGGTTGGTTCACTGTAAAGTACTTTGGTGTAAATTTTAATTGAAAAAATTGAACAGAATTGTTTTCTGTTGCAATTCCATGTTTATGGTTCCATAAATCAACTGCACTTACCTCCATTGAGAAATTCTTTAGCACAGGGATGGTAAAGCAATGGCACACATCTGTACTGCAATAAGATTTAGCAGACTAATAGCGTTTTCGATTGGTAGATCAGGATTTAATCTAGATTTAATCTTGATCTGCCAAATCGAACATTTTCTGAGTAATCTGATATTTCTCAATGTAGATTTACTCTTGAACTGTCAAAATATGTTGTCCACTCGAAGATTTTTATTGCCGATTAATGAATCTGGATTTAATCTAGATTTACTCTTGATCTGTCAAATTTCGTTATCCAATTGAAGATTTTTAAAGTAATCTGACATTTCTATGTTAGTGTTAGTAAACACTCACATCTTTCACAAATACATATATCGAATCAAATCACAGTTTATCTATTAAATCACACAAAACAGCTGTTAATTTTAGGGTAATCTTACTACTCTGATAAAATGTCTGGAGTGTAATAAAAAAGTCTCAAGTGTTATACATTTTACCAGATTTAACGATAATAATAAAATAAAATAATAATAAAAAAAAATAATATGTAATGAAACTATTTACCAATCGAAAACGCCATAAGTATATTTGGAAAGCTCTCTTCTTCCCGATCATCTACTAAATCTAAATATATCAGATTAAAAAACAATGATTGGAGTGTTAACCGGTCACTGCTTTCTAAACAAACTTTAGATGTAAAAACCGATAAATACAGACTATGTATGACATAGTCTTACATATTCCTTGAAAATGTTCAACTGTTATATAATACAGAAATAGAATTTTCAACAACGTTTTGAACCACGAATCTGAGTGATCAAACTTCAAATTAGAAAAGGTTAAAACTTTATTGAATAAAGCTAAAGTGAGACCAATTCTTCGGTTATATATAGATAGAACAGAATACAATAGTATATTATTAATGGGCATAGTGTCACAAATAGCTTATGTTCAAGTCCACCAAATATTAAGACTAATATATTCATTTAATTAAAAATTTCAAACCGTTTTAGCTCCTAATCTTTGATCACGTTTTTGACTACTCTTATGTTCTTCCGCTAGATCGTAAGATTTAAGAAAACATTAGTATTGACTTGACTTAAAGAGATAGATAAAGGGACTTTTATTTGTTTATAACAACAAATATTTATTTGGTTATTGTGTTCAGACTTTGGCTTAAAAAAAAAAATTGAAAAGTTAACTCTTAAAAATTTTTCATAGAAAATTTTTATTAAATACTATTGTTCATAAATGTTAAACTATATTTATTATAACTGATATTGTTAGTATCTTTAGCCTTACCAAAAGAATATATCCTTAATGCAATACTTAAGCTCTTGTAAGAAGCGGATATGTTTCATTCCAGAAGAATACTAGATTGCCCCTGTGCCTTACAATAATTTTCTCACATTATATGACAAAGATAGCCCAAATTATAATAGTTATGTGCTGACTGCATTTTTATTTAACGAAAATCATGAAGTTCATACACATATGTATTACCTTTTATCAAAAGTAATTTCGTTGGATATGATAACTATAATATTTTAAAACTTCACTCAGACACTACTCAAAGACAAAATAAGTATAAAAATGGTTTGCTTCCATACAAATAATGAAGATGATTTACTCCCATACATCTACCATAAATGTGCCGGCGAAACCTTTATGAACTTAAGAGAAAGGCTATATTATATAGACAGTCATATGACGGATTTTACGCTCTTTTTGGTCATGATAAAAGTCATGTTAAAAAGAATGTCATATCACAGAGAATCATTACTTATAGTATCTCCAGAATCATATTATAAAGCATTACTGAGAGATATAATGGCCAATTACCTACCTTTATTATTATTTTGGAACGTCGCTTTTTAAGCTTAAATTTAGTAGGCAATTATTTTTGTGTAGATGCTTACATATTCACACGAAAATATATATATTTACTACTAATAGGTACAAATTTTAAAATTTATTACTAAGCAACACTGCTTAAAATAAAATATCTGAATCACATTACATTTGCTTGTCATTTTGACAAGATATACTAAAAACATAGTATATCTAAATTCATTAAAAAAAAGATTTTCATCACTTCACTTCAGTTTCTTTTTTGAAAATTCCATTTTAAGCTGATAGTTTTGATTATATTAAAAAATGTTGCCGGAAACCGAGCGACGTATAAGAAAACTGGTTGATATAGCCGTAAAAATTATGCAATGGGGGTATATGCCCCTGATTGTGTATCTTGGGATAAGAAAGGGCCGGCAAAATGGGGCACCAATTTCTTTATGGGATTTATTTTTTTAAATATATCCCATTCGTTTTAATTATATAATGATATTCCAAATAAAAATATGCAAATGAATATGCCAACAAAAAGGTATGTAAGAATTATATTACTAATTAAAGAAATATGAGCAAAAAATAAAATTTTATAGAATTCCTGTTATCAATACCACCTTCATGCCTTTAACTACCTGCGAGGGTAAGTAGATACCTGGTACCTTTTTTTTGTATTAGCATTAAATATGAAAATACTTAAGCAAATTACTTTCACAAATGCCAATTCTAATCATTTCTGGCTTATTCGTTATTTTATTACATTTTGACATATTATTCGTTGCCTGTCAATTAGAAGTTTTATTGGTGACGTCAGAAAGTGAATGTGTTACAACTTTTAATGTAAATGATATATAAATTAATACTTGACCTTTTTCACAAAAACTTTTACAAAGTTCAACAACAAAAAAAGGAAAAAAAGAAAGAAATTAGAACAAAAATATAATAAAAAATAAATGAACCAAATTTATTAAGTTATTATCAAACATAATCCAATGCTAGAATTATACAAGAAAAAAGTTGGGGATTTCCATTTTGATAATTAAATGGGAAATTATGTGTTATAAGCATTTGTACTTATCATTTGTCTGCCTATTTTATATTTGAACTGCCTTCTAGTATTTGAACTGCCGGTCTATTACGAAATTGTTGTTTCATATATGCTACTATTGGCAACATTCAAATCATATCACACACGGTACAAGAGCAGCAAAACGGATGAGCAAACCTATTGTAATCACTACAAGTAGCTAAGTTCGTTATCAGTCATTGCCATCCAATCCAAGCCAATCCGAACCCATCCCAACGCCACAAATAAACTACGCTGTACTTATGTTATTTATAATTACTATATTACGTTTTAGTAAATTTCTACGAAATTCTAATATTCATTCATACTCATGGAATTGTACAGTTTCCGCTTTGGCTTCGCACATTCGAGCCGCTACTTTATCTATCGCCTATAATCATTACAAACACAAATATTTTGAAATTACAATCGCCATGCAATGTGAACATATTTGCCGCTATTAGACTGTCCATTCACTATTTAGGCACGCTTAAGTCATTCACTAGTTGGTTGCCCGCCGCTGTTGCGACTGCTGCCCCTGCGGCTGACTATCGTCACTCTACAGTTCAATCGCTGTTTCATAATTAAATTTATTAGTACGTTTGATGTGCGTACGAAATTGAAATCAACTTTCATGCAAAAAACCATAAAAATAATATTTTTTTTCAGTATTTACATTTACCGATTTTATTTTTCAAGTATCGGAAATTATGGTTGTGTCACCGGAATGTGTTCTAACATATAAAATTATATATGAAAGTAATGAAAATATAAAAGAAGTATAATAAAGTGATTTTGTTTGACAGAGTATCTTTAGATTCTGTACACTTTATGTATCTCAAGAAGTAGATATATCTCTTATAAATCACAGTAAACTGCACAGTAACTGCAAACTTTATATAGTAATAAAGCGTACTTCTTCAGATATTTCACGTATTTTTTAATTAATGTTATTTTGAACTTAAAGTCAATCGGATCAGTGTTAACAGATAAATGTGTACCGACAACAGCTAGTGACGTCTGATATTTTTTATATTACCTAATATATATTAATCATTCTATGACAAAATATTTATACAGAATCTGACACCCTTCGTCTTAAATCAGTAACGTAGTATTGTATAGAATCCACTGTTATCGGACAGATTTTTTGCAACAGATTTACCCAGTCACCGCAATTTAACTAAAAAATGAACGAAAAAAGAAGGAACATCCTGTTACCTTTGAAAGTTATAGATCTAAGATCTATGATGTGCAAAATTCTTGAATATTATTTCCACAAATCTGGTCTTTTTGGAGAAATTTATTCTCTCAATTGCCTCATAGCACTTGTGTAATATTCGATTACGACTCAATTGAAAATCATAATTCCGAAATTTGTTGACTGGTTTGCATGTTTGACCCGTAAGTCCATATCTCAAAACCAGTTATAATACGGTTTATGAATATTTTGTCAAAATGGATTCATCCTATCAGATCTTTCAGCACAAATCGAAAGAAGACGCAACATAGCCAAATAATCGTTTTAATATTAACGAAAGTGACTGCTTCTGCCAGACTTGAAGAAAGATTTTCAGACAACTTTTTCTTTACTTCAGCAATGTGAAGTTCAGTTGAAGACGTTGATTGTCAAACAAAGCAAGACAGGTCATTCACCACATCTTAAACTATGTTTTACCATATGTGTTATTTAACAGACACTCCTCCATGGCATTTCAATTACTCTAGTATTAATACCAGTCTTCACGATCTCTCAAATAATAAATCTTCTACCTCACCAGAGAAGTTTCAAAAAAAATTGTTTGGAACTTAAAATTTCACTTTCATCATACACCTTACTCTTTACTGATTATTCAAAATCGAACTACTTAAACTCTTTTAAAATTACTTCTTCCGACACCGTCATTAATCAGGAACTCCTTCCACCATTTAGTTTTGTTTTTCTTGCTGAAATTATAGCAATTTCTAACGCCTTAAACTTAGTAAAACATAAAAATGTAAACTATTCCATTTGTTCAGATTCCCTAATTTAATAACCGGAAAAAAAAAAGCAGACTGTGCAGTCAGAAATGCAGTAAGATACCCCCTTCATCAAAATTTTCTGTATAGAAAAATGTGTCCAATCAACACATTTTTTCCAATCATAAAAACAACATTTATATTTACGCAACCGGTGGTATACCTCTCACACGTAAAGGGTATACCACTCCAAATTTATTCGCCTACGTCTCGGGCATAGTCACCTTACACATAAACATCTTTTTCACACTTTACATTTATCCAGATGTCAGTTTTGTAACACAGAGCCTTCTACGTCAATAATTCATATCCTTTTCACTTGTTCTCAAATCATAGACATAATAATTTCTGTTATATCTCGATATCGAAACCCAAAGGGGAATACGTTAGAAAAAGAACAAACTTTTGTAAAATAATTAAGATGTACGATATACAAATATAATAATTCTGTATCATATTTATAATGTCATACTATATTCAGACTGCCAAATTTCCTTAATTGCGTAAAAATAAAATAAAGGTAATTTCGAAAGTGTTTATACTGCACTAAATTAAGGAAATCATATGTTTTTTGTTTACGAATTGAAGGTTCAAAATTAAATGCTCAAAACACCATTTTTATCTAAAAAATTTTAAAACTTGATTATTATAACTATAAAGGATGGCATTCAGTGGTTTTATTAGCTTTAGTGGATCTCAGATTTGTGGATTATTATTTTTCACTGTATTTTAAATTAATAACAGTTATAGTTTTTTCTTTATATTCAAATTTAAAAATTTGCGCAACTTTCAAAATATTTTCCCGGTTTTATTAAAGTCAACCATTTTTCTTAATTTCATTCTAACCTTTAGAGTGAATTTTGTATGAAAAAAACAACTTAATTTAGCTGAAACAGAGACGAAATTAAGCTTTTTGTGAAATTAAGGTGTGTCTAAATATAGTATTATTATTATAATTTACAATCAATGTATAATATAAATTTAGCAGCTTAAGGCCTTATTGCTATAGCTCTATGGTATGCTCTATAATATGCATACTATTACTATACTATGCATATTAAGTATAAATAAATGACTAAAACGATGATAAAGAAAACCATCCATATGTTTTTTTATGGTGTAAAACGTCATTTCTACTACAATATTCTGTACCACTTATACTCATTAAAGAAGATTCATTAATCTTCTAGTACTTTTGAATGAAAGTTTACAAATTTAAATGCTTTATTCGTTTCACATGAAGTATGATTAATTTAATTTTAATTCTCTTCCTTCTCTTACATTCCGATTTTCTTACTTACGTAAATCTTACTTGCGTAAAGTGTCGCAAATGGATTGCGGCAAATACGGAGAGAAGTACACTTCAAAAGTCTTAAAATATGTGTCTAAGAGCTACTGTAGCTAACCGCAGCAAACATATGGTGGGCAACAAAAGATTGATTTGATTGCACGAAATTGGTTGTAGTCCATAACTCACCACCCATGCAATTTGAAGAGTGATCAAATCGACACCAAAGTAAAATGCAATTTGAAAATAAATTTTTCCATAACGGATACTCACGTACACTACGCGTCGCCCACAATGCCCGAATGAAGTTGTAGGCAGCAAAATGACAGTAGTAACGAGAGTAACCGAAAGTGTGTAGGCAACAGATGCAAAAAGAACAGTAATAAACATTGCCACAACTGCAGTGTACGATATAACCAACAACAACGACAAAGCAACAACATTGGTAACAGCAACAGCAACAGTAACAGCAACAATAGTGATACAGTGATACAGTGATAACGACAATGGCAACAGGATGTAAAAAGTTGGTAATGTAAAACCTACGCACGCACACGTTTCCAATAAGCCGCAAAGGCGAAACCATTTACTCGCGCCCCCACATTTACAACCATACACCATACACGCACACACCAACACATTTCACACTCAATGTAGACATACAAAAGAACAGAGGCAATTACATATTTGATGAGGAGCAATGCGATGATGACTATTCTGCATCCTTTTCCCAACTTTCACTGGTGAAACTTAATTTCATTTCCGCCTACAAAACGGAAAAAACAGCAACTTTACACACTTCAGGCAATAAAATGTAACGATGTGAAGGAACTCTACTTGCAGTCATGGCAACATTTATCTCAAATAATTTTTTCTTTTTTTAAAATAGAAGAATAACGTATCTACTGGTTTCATACAGTCATCGTAAATGAGTAAGTCCAGGAAGTTGCTACATTTTTTTGCTTAATTCGAAGTAGGTCCTGAAATGTACCACTGCAGACTGATGAATCATGTAACGTGTATTATGTTTATGTTGAATCTTTTCCGAGTTAGTGCATCTAAGCACTTTTACTCTTTGGTAGCTGAGGGGTGTCTGCAGAGTCCTACACATCTCACTGACTAATTTGAGTATTCCTCATAATCTTCGTAATTACCTATTCAATGACTGACCTAAGATTTGCGTTCCGCCCCGTGCGTTTAGTGATTACCCTGAAATTAGATAGTGCTAAGTACGACAGTCAGTCGGTATAAACATATAAGATACAAACGAGTAAATAAAACAGACAATGAATAAATAATTTCTTCACCACAAAAGATCAACTATGGTCGCGGTGCTTCGCTCCGTTAGCAGCTGGTACCCAGTTTATTTCTATTCTACATAATATCCTTTGTGTTAGCCTTGATGTTGTTGGTGTGGTCCTAGATGCCTAGCATGGCACGATGGCAGGCCTGGTGTGCTCATCAGTTTTGGGGTGATGTGCCTGCAACTAGTTCCAACAGGTGACAACAAACAAAAAAAATCATGCCATTATCTAATCACCTATATAGATTATACCTATCCTATACCTACTAATCCTGGAAGTCGATTTGAGTCTGCCCTCCCTAAACTACCTATGAGTTACAATATGAGTCTAAACTATTTATCGCAACTCCCTTTCTAAACTCAGAGTGTTCAGTTCCAATATTTACAGACACAATAAAATAAACATAAATAAGGTAACATAATCAACACAGTGATCATCGCAGATTAGCATAATCGGTGCTGCCAATTGATTCCAACAGAATAGAAGACACTAGTGTCTTCGAGTGAGGGCCAAAATGTCACTTATAGAACAGAATCAAATTGTTATAGAAACTTTTTATCCTTAGAGGGAGTAAAGACTAGAGGTTTCACTAATTTCCCAATAGAGCAAAAGCACCATTTGATTGAAATGATAACGTGAGTCATCTTTTACAAAACTTTCATATTGATTGCATATGCAAATGATATTAATATTGTTGGCCTGAACATCCCTGCCGTCAATACAGCATTTTTCAACTTAAAAAACGGGGGGAGCGAATAGGTCTTGCTGTTAATGAGAATAAAACAAAAATATAGATATGAGAATAATATGGAAAGTATGTCAACAAATACATTTTGTCAGTGTTTTCATACCAGAATTACTGTTAACAACTAAAGCTCTGAAGTTGCTCTTAAAAAAACAATTAGAAAAATAATAATTTACAGAAATCTTAAGATAAATGATTTGATATAATTTTTTTAATAAAAGGGAATTTATACAAATTGAAGAATCAGTAATGAGGCAATTAATGTATTGGATAAGCTATAGAAACCATTCTTAAGATTTAAATTTTTTTATTATAAATTTTTTTTGAATAATTTTTTTTGCCCTGTATCTTGGTTAATATTGAGAACAGTACTTATTTTTTTTGTTCCTTAGACCTGGATGTCATGACTGAACCTTATATCACGAAGCCAAAAATCACTCTGTATGTGATATGATATATGTTATTATTCTGTTATAAAATTTTATTTAGAATGTTAATAATATTTTTTTTTCTCATTTCAGAACTTCACCTACCACCTAATTGCTGTTAGAAATACTGTAGGGCTCCTATCTCCTACCTACCTCTTCTTCCACCGCAAGAACAACTGTTAACTTGGCTGTTTACATAAACGAGAAAATTGAGTGGTACACAAAGAATCTACTAGAATTAAAAAACATTTTTTTTTAAATTTTTATTTTCTTTTTCATTTTACAGAAATAGATGAAGGAGGACACATTGGTAGAGAAGCAACTCCGTATTTCGACCAGCCTATTTTAAGTGATGATGACGGATGAAGAAGAAAATATGTGGTTCTTTGGCATCTGGCATCTGATGTATCTTTTAACGTCACAGGTTTACGTCACAGGACTCACTCGTGTAAAGAAAATGATAACAGAGAATAATGCAATGAAAAAGCCTAATGAATAAAGTGTGCATATTTGTTTGCTTATATGAGTACCTTTTTTCTCTTCTTCAAAAGTTTTAATATAATATAATAAATCTCACGACATTCTACGTATAAATAGGTCGGTCGAACATTTACGTAATACAGATTGTATTGTTTAAGTAGCATTTAAAATTTAAATATCTGTTAAGGATTGTAAGTGTAGAATATAAAATTTAACAATTTAATTTAACAATTTTAGTAAACTAAGATATTCTAAGTTTTGGCAATTAGTTTATAACAACATATTTTAACAGCATAATATAATTTATTTCTGGCAACGCTGGTGAACTAATACACTTTATTTGTCAAATCACATTTTTTATCAAATAAATTTACTTGTACGAAATAAATAATATTCAATCTAACACAGGCTATTGTAAAGGTCTCCTAACCACCAATCCGCGCACTTTTACATGTCCTTAAAATGTTATTCATTCTTGTTTTTAACGATAGAAATATTTGGAAGATCTTGGTACCGATACTTGTACAACAGAATAAATATTTACCAGCCCATAGTACATGAAGTAATACTGTTTTAGAACTAGCCGATATATTTATAATTTCATATTGAAAATACCTAATGAATATTATCGAGCTTATTTGTCAAGTACTCTTGAATTTTATCAAATGTTACAAATAAGGATTATCAATAGCATAATCAACCTATGATTTTTCTTCCTAAATTCTGCCTTCGAGGTTTTAACGAAAAGCTGTCAAGTATCTATTTAGAAGTTAAAAAAATTTATTTATGGTAATCTAAAAAGTTTTCTTCATACTCGTATTAACTCACAATAATCCTCAATGGATATAGTGGCGTGGTAATATGGTTTCTAATCCTTCAAAATCTAATACTCGTATAAAATTTCTGGCTTTAATAAAATATAGCATTTTATGATTTTACAATAACCTGTATATGAATATAATATATATTTAAACGGATATAATATAATAGCAAAGAGCAAATGTAATCCTATTTTTAATCAATGCATTTGATTTTTAAAATCGAAAGTTTTAACCTTATCTGGTATTGGAAAAAACTAACAGGTCTTTGCTTGATTTATATCCAGCCGGATTAATCCAACCTAACCAAATCTAACAGCTTATAGAACCTCATCACATCCGATTTGGTTGAAATGTTTGTTATGAGCTTCTTTTTTACCCGTATTTCGGCGAAATATGGAGATACGGAGCCATTAGATTTTGAGAATTCACATTTTAAACCAATTTTGAAATGGTCTAAATATATCAAGCTCTATAAATGATAGAGAGCTACAATTTGTTGCATTCTAAGTTAATAAATTGTATACATAAAAAACTTTAATTTTTTACTTTTGAATTAGGTTCATTATAGAATTTAGGATCCTAAATTTTTTGATGTATTTTTTGATGGTCACATTTTTTATTAAATTCTTTTTTTTTTTACTTTTGATTTAGATGCGTTTTAAAATTTTAAATTCCAAATTTTTAGAAGTATTTTCAAGAAATATCTAACAGCATAACTTACATATTTTATTACATTATATGGTATATTGTGTATTTTTTTTTTGACAAAATTCTATTTGCCATCTTTCTAGAACTATTATTACATCATATAACTATATTTTAACTTCATCTCTGGGATTTTTATAATGTTTTTAAAATACATAACTTTATCCAAAAAAAAAAAAATTCATATAAAAACTCACTTCTGAAATTCGTTATAAACTTTTTTTAGTAGAACTAGAAATCATTTTCACACAAAATAAGGCAAATAGGTCATACGCACAGAAATCCCAATTTATTAGACTGACAATCAGATGCTTCGTTTAACCCAGTTTTTCTTTCTGAAGCCCTTATCTCACTTACTTGTGTACATTGATCAGAGCTCACACACTGGGTATTTTTTATATTAAGACCTGTTAAGCATCAAATTATCCTTGTGATAAATTCATGTCCTTCACCAGGTTTTACGTTTTCTTTTGTTTAATATTTTTCGCATTTTACCATAAATGGTAAGCCATAGTTATCCTCAATGTGGCACATGGCATATGCTACACTCTTCGCTCTGCCCTCCTTTTCCCAACTGTCAGTTGTGCAGAAAAGAGAAATTAAAACGACATCGATATGGGTAGGCGACCTAAAACCCAAACCTCCAACTTGATACGAATATGTCCCCCCTTATTTTAACTATCCACAACAACACAACACAATATTGTATTTTTACAATAAAATCGAAAAAGAAAAACTAATTGAAAATTCAATAATTTGCGCCGTAACAGTTTTCAATCTTAGCTCATTTTGTTGTTGCAATTGTCTTTGCTTTTGCACGTGTTGTTGGTGTAGCTGTTGTCATTTAGCTCGTAGTACGTTAGTGACGTAACAGAGTGACGAATTATTGACGATTGTGCAATAATCGGCAGCAGCAACATCATCAACCGCCCTGCACCCGCATGACCGAACCAATACATATATATGTTATGTACATATATAGTATATTTAACACAGAATTCGCTTACTGACGCTCGTGTACTTTGTAGTAACCTAAATTTGCAACGACCGCCCACGTGCTGTTTGCCATGCCGCACATAACAGCCGCAGACCCTGCAACCAGTTATATACGATGCAAAATTGGCTTCTCAGAGTCACTAAGTTCGGTATTTTATTTTAATTTTTTTTTTTTGCTATTTACTATTATTTTGTTGTACGCTTTCCCGACCGACACTCTACCCAAACCAGAAAAATTATTTAAACAGCATCGATTCGGCAAAGTTTGTTCGAGTAAACTCGTTTTTGTCTGCAAAATGGTCTCTGCTTTAAACTATGACGTCATATGTGCGCGCATAGTTACCTCATTGTGTGCAGAGCAGAGCTAAACTTTGGCTACGACAACGACAACAAGAACAACAACAACTACTACTACGACTACGACTACGCCATCGAGTACTTGTACGTAAGTAGTATAGGAAAATAACAACAACAACAGCAACAACAACTGGGTGAGATTACAACGTCGTTAGTTATGACGACATGCATTCTCGCTGAAAACTGGAACAAATTGAACAATTATAAATAAACAGGGTGTAAGCTAAGTATTATTTAAGTATGTTGGTATTAATAACTTTATTTCAGTTACTTTATTTTAGTATGATTTTTTTTTTGGTATATCCCTATATAATTGAAACTTAACGACTTTTTAATAAAAAAGTTTTGAAGAGCACAATTTGGCTTTAGAGTGAAGCTCCATAAAAAACAATGACGTCAGTGATTTCGAGTTTTAAGTGAGAAAATACATAGCTTTTTTGGGTGTTCAAAATGTATCAAAAATAAAAAATTTTTAATATTAATAAAAACTATGCAGTATACAGTAGTAGAAAGATCACAATATTTTTTTTATTTTATGTTTTTGATATATTATATAAATTTAATTATTATGTATTACCAAGTGATTTATTTCACAAAATATTATTATTAATGTAATTCCTTCAAAAAATATGTTTATGTGCTCAGTGAGCGATACTGTCGCCTTAAGCCTTCAATAATTCCAATGTAATTATAAGTAGGACTTATAATATAGGGTTATATAATATAGGGTTAGCCACAATCGGCTAGCCGTTATGATTGGCTTAACGCATGCAATTCTTACTCTCACGTCCCCGTCGTGCAACCTGGGCAACGTGAGGCAATCTATGAGCGAGACAAGGTAACCAATCCATGTAGAGCTCTAGATCACGGTAAACGAGAGAGGGTGCCTTAGTGAAAGACTTCGTCATATTTCATTTAACGATCCGCCGAGGTTTAACAGCTCATCAACACCTCGCTGCAGTGAGTTCCTGATTTGTATCAACCGTCTGATTGCTGTATAAATATGTTCACCCAGCGACTCACAAAACCTTGTTAATCAAACATGAAAGAATGCAATAGCAACGATAATGTTACTCCAAGGGATGACCATAGTATGATAAATCCTCCTGCTTCGGAAACAAATACAAGGATTTTGAAAGTGCCAAATCCATGTACGAGAATCATGATACATGAAACCCCCAACATCCAGTCACGTTGTATACAACGACTAGAGGCCGTACGTTCTACTCAAAGATGAGGATAAGAAAGAAAGAAAGAGATAAAGTATTTACTAGAACGTAGAATGCAGTAGATCGTAGTGTTCTATTGTACAGGATATTACGTTGTTTCATGTGTTTAATTTACTCAACCAACAGAACTGACTTATATTACTTTTGTTTCTTGAGTTTTCCTTATTTCTATTACTGCACTTTATTTTAAACGTATGGTGTTTTATTTAAGTATCAGTTTAAAATATATAATATTTAACCCTTAAAATTAATATTAAATATTGTAGTGTTTTATTTAAAATTCTGCTTAAAATATATAGTATTCGATCCTTAAAATTAATATTATTTTGCAGTATAAAAAACTATTAATATATAATTAAATATTAATTATTTTATAACCAAACGATTTTTATAAAAGTGTTTTTTTCAGTCTAATTGGTCCAATTTTTTTAATGCTGTTGAAAAATTAAAATTATAAAAAAGAAATCACAATTTATTTTACAATAATTTTTATTTTATCGATATTTCAAGATCACCAGTTTCCACTTTTATCATATATGGTAATTAAATATAAGAAATGTTTTCAAAAATCCTACTGATGATCGATGTCTAGCAATACTTGAAAATGTAATTATTTAATTAAATTCTTGAAAATAAGAATTTTGTTCCTGTAATTCACTACTGTTCAAAAACATTTTTATTAATAACAATTAATAGCGATGAAATAGTTTCTTTAGTTATAATTGACTTTTAAAATTAAATTTAATATTAACTAATTTCCTTGGTTGCTATTTTGTAAATAACAGCCCCACCTATCATTCAATAATATTTCAAAAACAAATATGTAACAAATATGTATATAAAATTACTATATATGAGTATATAGATAAATTATGTTATAGTAAAAACTATTTACTATTCTCCAGGTGTCTGTAGTGTACCCCTTACACATAAAAATC